GCCCCCCCCGCCGCTCTGAGAGGGGCCGCGCGGCGCTGTGGCGCCCTGAGCGTGTCCGGCTGCTGCTCGGCGCTGGCGCTCGGCGGGCGGGTGTGCGAGGTTCCCCGGAATACTCGCCACCAGGCGTCGCGGTGCTGGGCTGGCGGGCCGTGGTGTATCCCCCCTTCCTCCATCTTCCGCACGGGTCTCCGCAGACTAGTGTTGCCGGATTCCCTCTGCGCAACATAGACTTTGAGAGGCCACGATCCCGGTGCATGCTTTGGTGGTGCCGGTGACCAAGCAGCCGGACATCCTGCTGGCACAGAATCAAATGGCTCAGGACGAACGCAGGCGAAGAGACCTCCACGCGCCAGAATCGCTTGACACAAGTAATTAACAACTCATTACAGAGCTGTAGCGGACGACTGATGTCCCGAAAGCTATGTGTTGATTAAGACTAGGATGTAGACCCCAAGACAGGACCAGGAAATGTAATCAGTAAAATTAACACGTGTGGTCTACAAAAGAAAATCCAATCACCTACAGCTTCAAAATATTGTCATTCGTCAGATATTTTGACAAACGTTAAGAGACCACAGGTGTTCTTGCCTTACGTGTTCCTTATAGAAAAGTCTAGAGCTTGCACAAAAGACATGTAGTTCGTGGCTGAATGCATGTGTAGATTTTTGAGTTGTATGTATAGATTGACTTAAACACTAAATGTCCTTGACTAACAACTTACAAACTTTCTTGATGAAACAGTTTATAGAAGATCTCTGAACCCTGATTCCAGGAAGTTGTTTCAGGTAAGGAGAATGCCTGTAATTAAAGAATTTGAATTACTTCCAAGAAACAGGCTGGAAAACTTCCCATGCACTTAATTCATTAGAAATATTTTTATTTCCCAGGGAAGTTTATTGTCCTCCCTCTCCACAAAGGGGAATAAATCATCGTCCATACCCTCACAGTATAAAGAAGAGATAGAGAGAGGACCATCTCTAGATTATAAAGCAGATGGCAAGTGTAAAATCAGTATATAAACAACGTGCCCCTGAAAGGAGGAGGAACAAATTTGGGAACAGCAAGAAAGGTGTTAAAAGATCCTCTTTAGCTGGATTTTAATTAAAGAACAAGCAAGTTATGAATAGCTGAAGTCCTTGAGGAAGGGAAAGATAGGGGATGGGGGTAAGAACATGCAAAGATGTTTTTGGTAAATAGTAGGTCCTAGAACAGTGGTTCTCAACCTTCCTAATGCCATGGCCCTTTAATACGGTTCTTGTGGGCTGTGACCCACAGGTTGAGAACCACTGTCTAGAAGAAGTAGGAACAGTAATTGGAAAAGGGAGGATAGGATGAGGTTGTAAAGCCTTGAATGCCAAGCTAGGGGTTTTATTTTGTACCCAGTGGGAGCCATGGAAATCTTTCATACATATACTAGGGAGCCATACCATCTGAACGTGCTTTTTGAAAGATAATAGAGAAGGAAATCAAAGATGAATTGCCAGAGGTCAGAGACCGAAGGCTAGGTAAATAATTAGAAAATGATTGCAGTAATCAGGTGAGAGATGAGGGCCTGAACTAGAACCAGGTTCTCAGAGTTGGAAGGAAGGAGATAGATTTGAATGAGATTTTGGAACTAGGAACAAATTAAAGTGTTTTCATTTGGATTCACAGGTCTGCAGGCAAATGGTAAGCCATCTCTGACTGAAACACGTTGTGTGTCTTACACTGAGGCCCTAACAACCTAGTGAAGGAGACAAAAACATGAGAAAAGGGACAAGTGTACTCAAAGAAGTGTTCCTGCATCTGGCAAGGCACAGCGGCTCCCACCTGCAACCCTAGCTCTTTAGGAGGCCCAGGTAGGAGGATCTCATGAGCCCAGGAATTGGAAACCAAACCAGGAAATACAGGAAGACCTGTCTCTACCGGAAAAGTGGGGAGAGATTATTCAGGTTCATCCCAGAAATTTCCAGTTCTGGGGACTATTTAGTCCAAAGATGGAAGAGAGAAAGAAAAGCACATAAAATAAAGTAGAAGGTGGTCTTTATAGTCCAAAACTAAATCAGGACTCTGTTGACATTGGTATATTTTGTCTGAATGCAATATTATTTTCTTTTAACATTAGTGTGAGCAAAGATGATGGAAAGCTAGGAATTTGGCCTATGACTGCACTAAAGAAGAAAAATAATGCAAGTTGACAAACCTCGAAGGGGCTGACCCTGTCTTGCTGGTGTAATAAATTCTCATTAATGATAAGGACAAGGTCATAGCTGTATACCAAAGAGCCGTGGTGAAAACAATGTTAGTTCTGGTGATTTCTATTTGCATTCACTCTGAACTTTGTATAACAGAGTATCATAAAACTTAATAGAAAATTTATACCAAAAGATTCAAATACAGAGTATCCCCCAAAGTTGCCATATATAGGGAAAAATGGGTAATTGTAGCTAAATGTAACTCAATTTACAAAATATTCATTATGAAATTTTACAAAGAGGTAGCCAACGCAGAGTAATTTTTGTAAATATTTTGTAAAATTTTCCCCTATGTATGGTGATTTGGGGGACATTCTATGGCAAGCATTTTTATCATATAGCATAAACATTTAAAAAAATATATTGCTGGCTGGATGCAGTGGCTCACACCTGTAATCCGAGCACTCTGAGAGGCCGAGGCTAGTGGATTGCTTGAGCTCATGAGTTCAAGACCAGCCTAAGCAAAACTCAAAAAAGAATATCTACCACAGGCTCAATGCCTGTAGCTCAGCAGCAAGGGCACCAGCCACATACACCAGAGCCAGCCTGAGCCTGCCAAACAATGACATCTACAACCAAAAAATAGCTGGGTATTGTGGCAGGCGCCTGTTGTCCCAGCTACTTGGGAGGCTGAGGCAAGAGAATCGCTTAGGCCTGAGAGTTTTGGTTGCTGTGAGCTGTGATGCTATTGCACTCTACCCAGGGTGACAGCTTGAGAGTCTATCACACACAAAAAAATCTCATATCTACCATAGATATAATAATTGTATCTTAATCCATGCTTCATAGTTTCCTTATGTCCTTCTATGTATTTCAGTTTAAATTTATGTAATATTAAAATCTTTTTGACATAGACTTTTTTGTTTGAGACAGGGTCTCCTTATGTCCCCCTTGGTAGAGTGCCATGGCATCACAGCTCAGAGCAACCTCAAACTCTTGGGCTTAAGAGATTCTCCTGTCTCAGCCTACCAAGTAGCTGGGACTATAGGTGCCCACCATAACGCCCAGCTATTTTTTTGTTGTAATTGTCATTGTTTGGCAGGTCTGGGCTGGGTTTGAACACACCAGCTCCGTGTATGTGACTGGCGCTGACATAGATGTCCTAGAAAGGTAATGTATTACTGCATTTCTAATGAACCAGGTAACGTATTACTGCATTTCTAATGAACCAGGTAACGTATTACTGCATTTCTAATGAACCAGGTAATGTATTACTGCATTTCCAATGAACCAGGTAATGTACTACTGCATTTCTAATGAACTTTCATGAAAGTAGTAAGGAAAACAAAATATGCGGTCTTAGCCTAGGACGTTGTACCTTTGATAAGTAATTTAAATTAAGTTTATATTTTAGCATATTGGGTTGAGGTAAACTACTTATTCAACGACTTTTAAAACAAAGTCAAAGAACTTTATACACCTTCTATCATGCCTATAATCCTAGCTCTCTGGGAGGCCATGGTAGGTAGATTGCCTAAGCTCAGGAGCTGGAGATTAGCCTGAGCAAAAGTGAGACCCTGTCTCTAAAAATAACCTGGAGTTGTAGTGGGTGCCTGTAGTCCCAGCTACTTGGGAGGCTGAAGCAAGAGAATCTCTTGAGCCCAGGAGTTTGAGGTTGCTGTGAGCTGTGACACCATGGCACTCTACTGAGGGGGACATAGTGAGACTCTGTCTCAAAAAAAAGAAACCAAAAAAACTGGTATTTATGTTGTATCTTTTACTTTCCATTTTTAGAAATAATTTTCTCCTTATTAAGGAAGCCATTTCCTAATAAGATGGATGCTTTCTCCTTGCCAGAAACATCATAGTCTAACCATTACACAATCGTGTTCTCTTAAATTCCCTCATATGAGATCATGAACTTTCATGATAGTTCTTCCTTTCTCACCTATGTAAATACAAATAAAAAATAAATCCTCTTGTATTTGTAAAATGTAATATTTACATTAATTTGTATTAATATAAAATACTTAAAAGATAAAGTTAATGTTTAAAAAAAGAAAATTACAATAATCATTTTAAACTGAATATTATCATTTATTTTTCTTTTGCCTACATAGATCCTAACTTAATTTTTGTTTGTTAACCTACAAAATGTATGTATTGCAATCTATTTCCCATAAATTTTTACTAGAATATTTTTGACATGGTAATATCAGTACATAGAACATTATAGGCATTAATAGTTGTTACAAATATGTTATTTTGAAAGATTAAGTCTGTGTTTATTAAATTCTTTATATATACCTAAGGGTTTTATCCTGCATTTTCTATTTTATTATATTTCTCAAAAATGTAATTTTCTCTTAATTCTCAAAAAGATGTCTGTCATAGAACAAATGCAAACAAAATGAATGTTTTTTCTCACTTTTGTTTTTAAGTATATATCAGATACCACAAAAATGTGTGATTTATGTAGATAAAATTTTATCATTTATGGTTAATGAGTTCTCTATCCTTTCAATTTTCTATGCCCCAGCCTTTGAATCACCTTCTTCCAAGTAACATTCTAAGAGAAAAACCCTTCAGAGAGGCTCATTG